TTTTTCTAACAGGGGCTAATTCTGCTCTGCTCCCCTAAGAGCCCGACTGATGTAGTAGACCGATCGTTGGACAGAGTCATCTTCCTTGATAAGAGCTGCACTGACTGCGGTGCTTGAGACGGCTAAATAGAGTAAGAGGGACTCGCCCGTAATCGCTTGTGAAAGGAGGGATGGATTGGCCATGCACTGCTTTAACTGCTAAAAAGCCTCTTCAGATTTAGTTGTCCATTCAAAAGTTTGCCGAAGAACTTTGAAGAACGGTAGGCACTTATCTGTTGCGCGGGAAATGAAACGGTTGAGGGCTGCAACTCGGCCAGTGAGTCTTTGAACTTCCTTGACCGTCCTGGGAGACTGCATCTCAATCAAGGCCTTGATCTTTTCAGGGTTAGCTTCAATGCCCCGCTGACTGACCATAAAACCCAGAAACTTCCCAGATCCTACGCCGAAGGCGCATTTCTCTGGGTTGAGCATCATTTGGTACTTGCGTAGCGTAGCGAAGGTCTCCCGCAGGTCGATCAGGTGATCAGTGGAGAGTTTGCTCTTGACTAGCATGTCGTTGACGTATACTTCCATATTCCGAACTATTTGGTGATGGAAGACGGCATTGACCAACCGTTGGTAGGTGGCCCCAGCGTTCTTCAATCCGAATGGCATTACTTGGTAATGGTAAGTGCCTCAGTCGGTGATAAAGGATGTATGTTCCCGATCGGACGGGTGCATCAGGATTTGGTTGTAGCCAGAGAAAGCATCCATGAAGCTGAGCATTTGATGACCAGCCATGGCATCGACCAGTAGATCTATGCGGGGCAGAGAATAGCTGTCTTTGGGGCAAGCTCGGTTCAGGTCAGAGTAATCGACACAGAGTCGCCATTTGCCATTGTTCTTGCAGATGAGGACCACGTTTGACAACCATTTAGGGTAGTCGACATTTTTGATGAACTGGGCCTCAAGGAGTTTGTTGACCTCTGCGGCTATAAGAGTATTGCGCTCTGGATGAAAGACGCGCTGCTTCTGGCGGTAAGGTCGGAAATGAGGTTCAATGCTGAGGCGATGAGTTATGAAAGAAGGGTCAATGCCGGGCATATCTGAGTGAGTCCAGGCGAATACATCATTGTGCTCGGTCAGAAGGGCAGTAAGGTCGGCCTTAGCTTGGGAGGATAGCTGGCTGCCGATCTTAGTAGTTTTCATTGGGTTAGTGGGATCGATGGGAATCTCAACGAGGTCCTCCACCGGTTCGCCTCTAACCAGCTCGTCCTCATCTCGGGCGTCAAGTCCTTCAATGATCATGGCCTCCTTCAGCTTGACTTCCTTGAGTGAGGCGACATAACATTCCCTGGCTATGGTCTGCTCCCCGCATACTGTCCCGACCCCCTGGTCAGTGGAAATTTTATGGCGAGGTGGTAGGTTGAAGTGACAGCTTGAAAGGCATTGAGGGTGGTGCGACCAAGGATGATGTTGTAGGCAGAGGGATAGTCGACCACAAAGAAAGTGAGCAACTTGGTAGTCTGCCGTGGGTATTCGCCGATGGTGATGGGGAAGTCGATGGAGCCGATGGAGGTCATCCGGTCTCCAGTGAAACCAACCAAAGGGGTTTGGAGGGGGGACAGGCTTTCCTCTCCAATTTTGAGCTGGCGGAAGCAGCTGAGGAATATGATGTCTGAAGAACTGCCGTTGTTGATGAGGACCCGTCTGACCTTATAGTTGGAGAGAAGGGCAGAAATGACGAGAGGGTCATCATGAAGATAACGAATGCTAGTACAGTCGGCGTCCATGAAGGTGATGGGTTCTGTCCACTGCTTAGGCTGTTTGGAAGGTCGGTCTACCGTGTCCACTGCTCTGTCCGAGCCTTGCCTTATCTTCCTGAGCTCTGCCCTCTGAGCGGAGCGGGATGGTCTGCCACAAGCAAGGCCACCAGAAATGACTCGGATTTCACCAACTGGCGGAGGGGGATTACCTGGGGGCCGAGGCTGTTGTGGGGGGCAGTCACGGCCTTGGTTAGGTTGGGCTGGCTGCCGGGGTGGGGTACGCTGGCGGTTGTTTCTGAGGAGCTCGGTTCTTTGCCTCTATTGTGGGCGGGTGTCCGTGAACTGGCTGAGACGCCCTTAGCGAATGAGGGTCTTGACCTAATCCTTGAGGTTGATGCAGTCATCATTGTTGTGGCCGTGATCCTGGTGGAAACGACAATATTTGGACTGTTCTTTTCGGTTGGAGGGGGTTCGTGAGGGCAAGGGCCATTTTTGGGGGTAATCCCGTTGGATTTGGTGGAGGACTTGTTCCATGGGGGAATTAAGGGGCGTGTACCGCTTGAACAGACCGGGAGGTCAGGCTGGTGCCGACCTTTCAGCGCAAGGAGGTCGGTCGGTGTATTGGGTTGTTTGGCTGTTATACTGGGTGTTTCTGGGTTCCGAGTCTTTTCTCTTTTCTCTGGGGGTCGGGTTTTTGGATATTAGATCCTGCCGAGCGGCTAGCGAATCTTCGGCATTCATATACTTCTGGGCCTTGGATAATAGGGTTGCCATGGAGGTCGGGGGATTTTTAGAGAGGGAAAAAAGGAAATCGGACGATCGTAGCCCAGCCATGAAAGCCGTGAGGATGACCTTATCGTCATTCTCCACTACTTGTAGGGCTTCGGTGTTGAAACGGGTAACGAAGCTGCGCAGCGACTCCCCCTCAGTCTGACGGATATTGAGGAGTTGGGTTGCAGGGCGGCGTTGGCGCTGGGCTCCGATGAAATGGCAGAGAAAGGAGTCGCTAAGATGCTGGAAAGTGGAGACAGAGTCCGCTGGTAACTGACTGAACCACAGTCGAGCTGACCCCTTCAGTGTCACGGGGAAAGCCCGACACATGATCTCGTCAGGGAAGGCATGGAGGATCATGAGGGTACGGTAGGTCTCCAGATGGTCGACTGGGTCCGTCGTACCGTCAAAGGAGTCAATGGTGGGCATATTGAACTTGGCGAGCAAGGGTTTGTCCCGGATGGAGGCAACAAATGGTGAATTTGCTGTGGTAGAGGGTTTATGCTGAATATTCTACATGACCCCTTGGAGTTGGAGCTTCATTGCGCGGAACTCAGTGTCCCAGAGGGGAACGTGGTCACCATGGTCAGTCAATGGAGGCTAGACGCTGCTAGCCTCCCCTTCAGGGGCTGGTGCTACGACCGACGGGTGTGGGGGTGGTGGTGGATTTATATGTGGGTGGGGAGGTTGCAAACCTTCCAAGTTTGGTGGATGGAGTTGTGGAACAGTATGGCTCGGGGCTCTTTCTTGGTTGGGGGGAATATCTGGAGGTGGAGGGGGAGGCATTGGAAGGTTCCTTTGGAGTAAAGCATTTATCAAGGCTTGGTTTTGCTCAGCCATGCGGTTAATGCTGTTAGTAAGCTCGATAAAATACTGTGGTGGGTTGTTTGGATTGGAGGGGTCGGCTTGATGGTCGGCGGCATTATTATGAGAAGCCATGAATCTAGTCGTGACCATGCACTTTGACGGGTAGGAGAAAAAGGTTGTTGGAACGGGGCCTCCGGCGACAGTGAACACAACTGGCGCGAGGAGCAAAGCGTTCCCACAGACAATGCCAACTGTTGATATAGTTTATCCCCGATGAATGGAGCGAACTAGTCCAAGCTCCTCAAGCCCAAGCCCAAATGATCGAGCCCACCGGATACCCTGCAAACAAGTTCAATGGGGAACGTGGCAGTCCCCCAGTGAACCCTCCGACGATCAAGTTAGGAAGAAAAGTAGAGTATATGGGAGAAGATTAGAGATAGAAAGCTTAACCTTTTTCTTGTCTACAACGTTCGCTTATATCCTTTGGCAATCATTTTGCTATCCCTTCCGACCTGCTCTCCTTGTCGAAAGCCTATGTTGTAGCTTACCTTACTCAGGGTAAGGGGGTCTTGTTCCGGCAGAGAGGTGTTGTCGTAATAAATGCTGTGATGGGCTGCATTAATGGTGATGTGCAGTGGCAATAACTTTGCAGATCTTTGTCTGCTGATGTGGCTCGTCCTTCACCCGCCACGTGCCTGAATGCCGTTGGTTCTTGATGCCATATTGGATTCCAGCTGTTCTGGACTCCATTGGCTGGGTTATGCATTGGGCCCCGAATGATGGGCTCGGGTTGCTTATAGTGGTTCATGGCCTTTGTGGGCCTGTCCATGTCAGTATTAATTTAGGCTAAGTTTGGCATCTACTAAATAATACAAAAAGTCACTATCCTATTTAAGTCACATCATCTTATTTAAATCACATCACATCTCTAACACATCACATCAAACCCAACCCAAACCCAACCCATATAAGCCAATAAGTCAAAAAGTGCACTTTTTTAGAACATCCCAAACCAACCCTTTGTCTAATTGTAACATCTATTGATAAATTAAACAAAAATAAAAATAAAAATAAAAAAGGAATGGATCATCTCAAAAATTAGATGTCAACTTCTCAATTACTTTAAGGATTTTTTACAACTAGATTTTAATCTAATTTTTAAAGAGGCGTTATTAATTAAATTAAATTCACACATTATAAAAATTTAAAATTAATATTATTAAAATTATAAGGATTAAATTGATACAAATGAAAATCAAATAGGTAAATTACATTTTACCCTTTTATATTTAGTCATTTTCTCACTTTGGCCCTTAAAGTTTGTTTTTTTCACTTTGACCCTTCATATTTCAATTTTTTCTCAATTTCCTCCTAAAATAATTTATGTTCAAAATTAAATAGAAAATATCATATTAGTTGTCACATAATATAAAAAATATCTATATAATAAGGCAGCTCAGTTTTTTTTCTTTGATGGGACTTCTGTCCCTTTGTCAAATTATAAACCATTGGATTGAACTTAATCCAAGGGTTCACAGTCTTACACCCTCCATTTTCAACCCACGCCCCCTCTCTCTCTCACACACTCTCATCTCTTTTTCTCTGATTTCAAATTTTGAAATCAGACCCCCATTCCCTCTCTCTCTCCATTAGTCTCTTCCCCCTCTCCTCTATCCTAATCGTCATCTTCTCTCTTCCGGAGATGGGAGATTCACAGATTCAGAGATGAGAGCCACTGTATGTATAGATATACATTTGTGTGTATTATATACATAATTTTATTCACAGATTCGGAGGATGAGGAGAGCCCTAGCCTCCAAGATATACTCTGGATTGAGAGCTCAGGGCAATTACAACCTACCCAAGTAGCGTGACAACAACGAGGTCTTGAAAGCTCTCTGCTCCGAAGCTAGTTGGACAGTCGAACCCGATGGCAATTACAACCTACCCGATGGCACTATGACAACAATGAGGTCTCTCTCTCTCTCTCTCTCTCTACATGTCTTTCTTCAATTTTTTCTGCTTGGTTATATAGATCTATAGTTCTTGACAGCGGGTTTTTCATATCTAGATCATAATTGTTGTTCTTTATCATCATCTATTGTTTGGAGGTTGTTAATTCTAGGAATTAATGAGTGCCATGCTGATATTCTTTTGGGGTTTTGTTGTTTTTTAGCTGGGTAGAAGAATGTTTAAATGCTCTGTCATCATCTTCTTCTCTCTTCGATTTTGTTTTTATTCTTTCGAAATTTTTGCCATCAATTGGAACTAGCTCAGCTTAATTAGCAGTTTGTGATCTTTGGGTGTTTTTTTCAAACTTTTCATTATGTCGTTTTATAAAACATGAAAGATGAAAGCTGAAAGCAAAAACGGAACTAAACAGCTGAAGCTTGAAGCACCAATGTTTTTCATTTTACTTTGTGATTGCTTATCATCTTCATGTGTTTTGATCATACAAAAATAAAGTCACAAATTTTGAGGTCTGATTGATATAAGGTGGGAGGGATGATCATATCTTATTACGATCAACTTGTGCAGCTCAATCAATTGCATTTTCAGCTTAATAAGGAAGCTCAGTTTTTTTTCCTTGATGGGACTTCTGTCCGTTTGTCAAATTATAAACCATTGGATTGAACTTAATCAAATTATGAAAAAGGCTCATGTCCGTCCTCTGTTAAATTGTTAATATGTGCATCCTTTTAAGATGTGCATCCTATATCATAGTGTAAAATTATTTTTCTCTTTTCCTTGCTAAAAGACACAACTAGACAGTGCTTCATCATCACTACCCTGCAATAAAAGATAAAATCATGGCTTTGCATCATCATTACTACCCATCATAGATTAAAGACAAGATTTGAGAAGAGTGGAAGTAGTGGGGGAAGGGTGAGTCACAAAATGCCAAGTTCAGATTCATTTTTGAGGCAGTTAAGTGGAAGAGAGGGTTGGAAATCAACATCCAAGAGGTGGGGTACTGGTGGTGGTTTGAAGCAAATGGAAGGGCTGAACATGTATTATGGGAATGGTGGTGGAGGTGATCAGAATGGTGGTGGTGGTGGTATGATGATGAGGAAGAGAGTGATGGTGGTGGTGGATCAGAGCTCACATTCAAAGCATGCAATGATATGGGCACTCACACATGTCACCAACAAGGGTGATCTCCTCACCAATGCTTCTACTTCCACCTATATAAAAATAAAAATAAAAAAATCATACCACCAGTGGTATGCATATACATACATACATATATACATATATTTGTATATACATACATACATACATACATGCATACATATATTTGTTCACTTTCAAGCTTATAATCTTCAACTAGATATATTCATGTTTGTTCACTTTCAAGCTCATAATCAAATGGATCTATCTATACATGCTTTTATATACATATGTATATATCGGTGGTTACTGGGATCAACATAAACCACACTTAGAGAAATGGCTCAAATGGGTCTTTTCTTTTCTTTTGATTTGATAGATCTAAATCTAATTTGCTTACAGGGAGACAAAGAGGGGGAGGTCTTCTCATATTTTTTATTTTTTTGATTCCTAGATCCTATTCTTTCTACTTTTGTTCAAACTTTTTCAGTGCTCTGTGAGGGAGTGAAATCAAAAAAATTTCTTTATTTATTTGAGTCTTGCTTTTTTGCCACTCTTTTTTTTTTTCACTGGTAAAAGAGAGAAACATGTATCCTCTGTTTTCATTGTCATCTTTTTCAGTATTTTCTTTCCCAGAGGACGGACGTGAGCCTTTTTCTCCTTTTATATTGTTTCCCAGTTTGTTGTCATATCTATAGATATCATTTTCATTTGATTTTTTGTATGTTGAATTTGATTTTATTTTATGGGGGTGTTTAATTTGATTGATAGCAACAAAAAAGATTTTATTTTATTTTATTTTTTTATTTTTATATAGGTGGAAGTAGAAGCATTGGTGATACGAAGTCCAAACTTGAACTTGGGCTTTTTGTACAAGAAAAGCAATTGTCAAAATTGACCTAACCAACTTTGGTCAATTTGATAGAGATAAAGTCATTTTCATTCATTTTTTATTTTTGCAATCTCATTGATTAGAAGTACCATATGTATGTACTTTTATGGCATTCGAAGAATATTCAATAATTTTTCAAGTATGATTTAATTATTATTTAATGTTACAAGTCCATTGGACGAATTAATTTTTTTGTACAAATTTCTTTTCCTTTTCCTTATTGTGATTTAAAATTTCTTTTTCAATTGTCAGTGCTGAATTTATCTGTGAATAGAATTAGTAATAAACTTATTTTTCCCCTACAAATTTGGATACTTTGTTTTTTGTCATCCCACCATCCCCACCATCACTCTCTGTCAAATCAAATGGGGGTTAAAGGAAGAAATTGGTTTCATGTTAATACCTATTTTTATTTCATATTAGTTAAATGGGTTGGGGATTGTTAACATTAAATGGGTTAATGTGAACATTAAGGTTAACCTGACTGTTAACATTAAGCTGAAAATATTTTTGTTAACATTAAATTAGTTTCATGGTCATATTTTTTATTCATAGTTTCCAATTAATGTTAATTAGAACATTATTTTTGGTATTTATTGAATACTTTTGTATTTACTTAAGCTTTATCTAGAACATTATTTATGTTGGAAATGGTTATTTTTTCCTCAAGTTTGGTCTATTTTTTAGGTGGGCCCCGAGTGTCGATTTACTCGGGTCAAAGTGGTAACGCGTTCTATGCCGCGTTGTGATTCACGTGGTATATTTGGTTGCTCAAAACCATTACCGAGTGAATGGGAAATTGAAGCCAAAGTGTGCTCCATGGAAATGGAGTTTTGGTTTGGATATATTTATTTATTTCTTTGTTACTTTTTTCAATTGTTTTTGGTATTGGTATATATCAATGTTTTAGTTGCAGTAAGAGTGCTTCAAAGTTAAAAATCACTTCCAATTTAATTGCTATATTTACATTTATGGTAATTTGTATATGAAGCATTGTGTTTGTGGTCAGAGCTTGTGGAAGAAGTGAAACTTCTTAACAACCTTTCGCATCTGAACATTGTGGTAAGTATCTGATTTGCATTCTTACTAAAGCATTTTAACGTTTCCTTTTGTTGGTCATCCCTTAGAAAACAATTCAAATATCTTTCTGTGCCTATCCATAAATTCTTCAAAAGGTAAGGTATAACTTTCAATTTTTTGTTGTAATAATAACATTCTAATGATTGTTCAAATATAAGTGATGATCATCGCCACCATACATAAAACTTTAAATCCAAATGAAATTCTAATTTTTCAAGGCAATTAAAATCCATTGGGGTTTCCGTTATATAATTTGTTGTGGTATTGTTTTGTTTTCACTTAAAATCCATTGGCTTTGGTCTGGTTTCCGTTGCTTATATAGAGTTCTGAGCCATTATATTGGTTTTCATTTTTCTGGATAATTAATTATTTTCTTTTATCCACCAATGTCGAAAGCTATGGTGGGCAATTTAGAAGTTGATTTCAATAATTTTCCATGATTCTTTGATTTTGAAGCCCAACACATACTCTACATAGTGGATTTGTGGTGATTCTCTCTCTCTCTCTCTCTCTCTCAAGATTTATATTTAATGGGTTCAATAACTTTTTCGTGGTGAGCACCAAACTTAGATTTTGAGATATATTTTTCATGTGAATGGGTTGTTATTTCGTGCTTTTATTGGCATATTAGTACGAGATTTTGGGGTTTTTACTATTTTGTTATTGCATTATTGTACAAAGAGGTTTTCATTTGAACATTTCCCACCTTTATTTCCCCCCCAATATTTAATGTACATTTGTAATCTCATCATATACCACCAGTTGAGTCCACATGTGGAATGATTCATAATGGAATGATTTCCACTCACTCCCACCCCCTATCTTAGTTATATCTAAATACAATTTTGATTTTTTTAATTGGTATAAATCTATTCAATTTTCATGGAATTCGAAACTTTACCAATGGAAGCAATTTCAAGTAGAGGCATGAGTTATAGATATAAAAGGTAAATTCATGACTTAATTTGTTTTATACTTACAGAAGTTGAGTTGGAATTTTTATTTACTAAGATTTCAAATTCATGATTAATGATTAATTTCAAGTTTTTATTCAAATTCAAATTCATGACTTAATTTCAAGTTTTTATTTACTTATAGAAGTTGTGTTAATGATTAATATTTGAATTTTTTTTTCCAATTAATTGGTTTTGAATTTCATAACTTAATTATTTAGATTTGTAATATCATCCAGTTTAATTTTTGATTAATCTCATTAACAAAAGTATTCTTATTTACATAGAATCCTCTAATTGGTTGTTTAGAATTTCATCATTATTAGTTGGTTTAACAGAGAAGCCTTCTATTTGATTTCCAAATTCTATTTTTTTCATAGTGGAATCTAATCTCTATTTGTTATTGGTATTATTGATTGGTTGGTTATTGATATTGACATAAAACAGTGCATTTTTAGCTTAAATTTTATATTATTAGTTTGGCATCTGCATGTGTGTGGTTTTGATTGATTGCTTGAAATAGATGGTTTGATTCTTGATCAAAAGAAAACATAGTGCAATAGCTCATATCTTTGTCAGATTGATTCAATTTAGTTAAATTAATAGTATTGGGTAATAGTAAAATGAATATATACTGTCTTTTGGGTATAAATAGGACGGTTTCATGATTTCATTGTAAATTTTATCATTTTTACTTGAATAATCAAGTGAAATTGGGAAGTTTAAACTAAAAATTTTTGTGGATGGGGCTGTTTTGTTGGGTGTTGCTCATTTGGGACATTTAATTTTGTTTTTGCATGTAACCTTTGTTATTAAGTGATTTTGAATAGAGCTTCAATAGAGTTGTTAATAGTTGTTGATTCACTTCCTCCATCTCTCAACTAAATCTCAATTTGCTTCTTAATTTTTAATTTTTATACTGGTTTGGTTTTGGATTCAATTTGTGTGGAATTCAAAATATAAAATTTTTAATTTTTTAAGTTGAATTGAAGGTGTGAGATGTTGTGGTCATGACTGAAATTTGGTTTTGGAGTACTTGCCACCATTGACTGAATTTCATCATAACTTTTCTAGCATTTTCTACTACTTAATTGGTTTCATTTGTGGGTTTTTGATTATACAAGCGTGATTATGCTAATTACATTTTTCTTTTTTACTTAAACACAGAATCATATTTGAACTATTATTTTTTCCCAAGTGGATTTGGCATAACTGGTAGTTTTGCCCTCTTTCCTAAATTGTGGAGTTTAAGTTTTTATCATTAAGTTGATCGTTAAATTGTAATTTGTGAACTTTATCATTTCTTCTTTCAAAATTTTCTTTGTTAACATCTAGGCGATGACACTGGATGTTCAATTCAAATATCAGTTCAGTTTTTAATTTGTAGTTCCTAATGTGCCATTATGGAGTAACAAGAAGATTTCAGAAAAATTATGGAGTAACAATCATTTGGGTGCTTTTTGAATGGCTAAGTTCTCTCCCTCTCTCTCTCATGTACTCAGCCATCGAAATCGAAGTTGGGTTGATGTTTATCAGATTGATACAGAGGAATTAACGATGTTGACATGCCCAATAGCCACTGCACCCACTTCGTCTTTCCTCTTTGCCAGTATGTAAGCACTGCTTCCTCAAATGGCTCTTCTTAAAATACTACTCTCCACTCTTTAAAATTTTCTCTGATTTTTTTTTTCCCTTTCCCCCTTCTATTGTTCATTTTCATCACTTGAATTACAGGCTGTTAGGTGATGGAATATACAAGTGGGTGACATGGATTGCACAACTGGGAGACAACGCGTATCTAACTTAAAAAGCATTTTCTTTTTACTGTCATTCCTTCTTTAAATACTATAAATGCACACATATGTATGCGTATAATGTAATGGATAGAATGAATTTATTTAACGTGAATAGATCAAATGGTTCCATTTGATTGATATTTGTTTGTGAGATTTTAATTCCCTTTGAAAGATCAATTGGATTTGCAAATGGATCTTTTGATCTTTTTCAAGCATCATGCATTTATGGTTGTGTGCTATTGGCAATAAGAAATAATCAAATCTAAAATGCATATAGAGATGTTGAATCAAGTTTAAAGTGGGACTACACTTGAGACTATACATATAGAATGCATGATTATTTATGCTTTGGTTTCAAATTAATTCATGAACTATATGTATTAAGTCAATCTCTCCTGATTTCATATTGTAATTACAAAGTAAAAGGATAAGGGAATTAAAATGATTGTAATTGTCTATATACACTGTGACACGGAGTTTAACCTTGAATATGAAGAATTATTAATGGAATGAATAAATTATAACTACAATGTGGTGAATTTTTACCAGTATGGGAGTACTATATTAGTTTGTCTTAATTTTTATTTTTCATGGGTCAAAATGTATTAACTTGAATGTGAATTTTTGTTTTTTTTAAAAAACTTAGAGAGTGCCGTAGGCACGGGTTATCCACTAGTACTATTATATTGGAATTTGAGTTTGTGTTAGAAATGTGAGTTAAATATATTAAAATATACTATGCTGCATAACTGTCAATATATCGATTTATGTCTAATTTTGAACATAAATTAACTTTTCAAGTAAATTTTTTTTAAAAAAAAAATCTTAAAATATAAAAGATAAAAGTAGGAAAAAAAAAAAAAAACCCAAACTTCAAAAGCCAAAATAAAAAAAGTAATACTATTTACACCACCATTTTAACTCGTTAGAATCCCAAAGTTGTTTATTTATTTATTTATTACAATTAACACCACCATTTTAACTCGTTAGAATATCTCCAACGGTAATAGGCATTTTACCTATCTAAATATTACTATAAAGTATATATTTTATTTTGCCTATCAACTATTTCATGTTTCTACTCCAACCATGCTCTTTATTTTAGCTATTCATCTAAATACTATTAATTTTATAAAATGCCACATCAGCAACAAAGATGGAGGGAAATGATCCTAATGATTAAATATATTTTGCCTAGTCTTGAAGGCTAGCTACATGTAGCTAGTGAGAGCATCTCCAATGCACTAGGCATATAATACTTGTTAGTTAAAATGCCTAGTATGATTCATTTTTTTCAATTCCAATGCACTAGGCATATGATTAGGCATTTTGGCTCAACTCATATTCACTAGCTACATGTAGCTAGCCTTCAACGCTAGGCAAAATGTATTCAATCATTAGGATCATTTCCCTCCATCTTTATTGTTGACGTGGCATTCTATAAAATTAATAGTATTTGGATAAATAGCTAAAATAAAGAGCATGATTGGAGTAAAAACATGAAATAGTTGATAGGCAAAATAAAATATATACTTTATAGTAATATTTAGATAGGTAAAATGCCTACTACCTTTGGAGATGCTCTGAATGTGAGTTGAGCTAAAATGCCTAACAATATGCCTAGTGCATTGGAGTTGAAAAAAATGAGTTATACTAGGCATTTTGACTAACAAACATGATATGCCTAGTGGGTTGGAGATGCTCTTAGAATCCCAAAGTTGTTTATTTATTTATTTATTACAATCTCATCCTTATCTAAAATGACCAAAATAGCCTCAAAATCCTAAACCTAATTTCTCAATACACCTGTTAGTCACTACTATGATTTCAACCAACCTCTGCCACCGATGACACTATCCATTGTCGTTGGTGCCACTACCTACCCCCTTTATGCCCCATCTCCAGTCCCACTCCTCCTCCTCTTCATCTTCTTTATCTTCTTCTCTAAAACCCTATAATTGTTTCTCTTTCTTAAGGGTTCGCAATGCAGCTGGTTGGGTTGCGATGGACGATCGCGCAATGAAGGCAATTGGATCACAATGAAGGGTCACGCTACAAAGGCAAGTTGTTCACGGTGGTCACAATGGAAGTGATGATTAGCGGCGGAGGTCGGGGAAGAGAGTCGCAGCGATGAGAGACTGGAATGAAAGTCAAAGACGAGGATGAGAGGTCGGTCGGAAATGTGGCGAAGAGTATGGCTAGTTCGCGGGGGAAAAGTAGTTTGGGGTTGCAGTTTGGTGGTCAGAGTCGCCAATAATAGCTGCCGCCGAAGTCACCGACAGTGACTGTCGAAGTGGGGGTGCGATCTAGGGTTTGAAAAATGAAAGGAAAGAAAATAAGGGCAATCTTGGTATTATGATAAGTGTAAAGAGAAAAATATAATGGCTGCCGCCGAAGTCACCGACAGTGACTGTCGAAGTGGGGGTGCAATCTAGTGTTCGAAAAATGAAAGGAAAGAAGATAAGGGCAATCTTGGTATTATGATAAGTGTAAAGAGAAAAAGATGGGAGGCTCTACATACACATCATAAGTTGTTTCAAGGCAAATTATTTCTAAACACACACCAAAAATAATTTAAAAAATAAATATTGTTCTCATCACACACCACAAATTTATATATTTATTCATACTCACACACCAACCCCAACAATATACATACAAAGTTTCATCTTTGCCCCCACACAGCCACACACTCCACACCCACGATATTCATCTCCCCCTCCATTCTCTATTCAAACTGGTGAACACTATTGGTGAAAACACACGTCGTCTGTGGTGTTGCTCAACATAGTTGAAACTTCACATTAGAGATTTAGTAAGTGAGTTATTATTTATTTTAGGGTTTTATGCACTTATCTCCATTGCTGAAAACACAACATTACTGCATTCCACGGATGCTCCGTTCTGAAAAAAAAAATAAAAATAAATAAAAAAATAAATTGTAAATGTTCGGCAGTACAGAGTCGAATTAAATGAAATTGCTCGATTTTTGTTAACCGAATATACGAATAAAGTTCGACTGTAGAATGTTGAACACGTTGTTCGACCGTAGTATGTTGAACAAAGGCATTTTGTTCGACGGTAGTATGTTGAACAAAAGCATTTTGTTCGACAGGAATATGTTGAACAAAGACATGTTGTTCGACGGTAGTATGTTGAACAAAGCCATTTTGTTCGACCGTAGTATGTTGAACAAAGGCATTTTGTTCGACTGTAGTATGTTGAACAATGACATAATATCCACCTCTGGTTACCCAAACTGTACCAACTATTTACCACTCAGCAAGTAACGAAAACGAAAACAAAAACAACAAAAAAATAATCTCTTCCTTGCTCCATTGTTGCGAATCAAAGTTGCCAGATGCATCCTTTATTGAATCCATTCAAAATCTTCAATAATACTATATTTTTGATTATTTGTTGAAGAGTTTTTGGTTTTGGTTTTAGGGTTTTTGTATTCTTGACAAAAAAGATAAGTAAGGAACAAGTTCGAAATTGATGATTTATATTATATTCATTCTTGTCCTTTATTGTAAATACACAAATGGTGTGTAACATAACTTGCCATCTATAGTCATTTCACTTAAGGTTAAAATTGTAATAAAAAAAATTAATTAATGGTTTGCCTTGAGAGAAAAAGTAGTGTGTAAATAGAGCCACCCGAAAGAGATAAAATTGATTGTGGGGTAATGAAAAATTAGGTGTAAGGAGACAAAATTATTGTATAGGTAGAATTACCCAAATAAAAAAGGGATCAAATATAAACGGAGCAAATTCTAATTTACCCAAAATCAAATAGACTCTGAATATTACAAGAACTCATGACTTGTGACCTGAAGAGCTTTGTTTTCCCCTTTATCAGTGATCAAAATCCTAATTTCATTGGCGCCATGATTAGGCCGTCTAGATTGCTCTTGTGCCAGGTTTGTCGACGAAATTAGGCCCCGTTTAGGGACTTGGGTTTGTAACCAAAGGGCATGTTTGATTGGGTGGATTAGAGCATGGGATTAGGATTATTAATCCGTGGGCCCAATTATCTCATGTTTGTTTTAACATTTTGGTTTAGGATTATTAATCCAATGGATAATTAATCCAACAAATTTGTAAGATTATTAGTAATGGGGTAGGGGTGGGATTATTAATCCAATGGATATTAATCCAATTGGATAGTGAATCCTACACTAATTTAATAGGATTATTAATACTTCACTATTAGTCTTTTGAATCAAACATGACCAAAAAGTTACTATAAGTTATCGCATTACTTTCTCTACTTTCTGTATGTCTTTTTGTAAAAACTCAAAATTTTAATTAAAATAGTCAATTCCCAAATATGACCTTCAGCTGTAGATCTCGGCACCAACAAGATTCAATTGCATACTTAATTAAGAGTTAATTACATTAATGGTCCTTAAAGTATACATATTATTACACTTTAATTTCAAATCTATCAATTGTTCCACTTTAGTCTCCAAAATATGTCATCTGTTACAATTTAGTCCTTATCGTCAACGCCACTCAAAATCAGTAATAGGAGAAGAAATATTTTTGAAATTTACAGGAAGACTCAACAAAATTAAAATGACCAAATATACACATGATCTAAAATTGTGCATTTTGTAACATTTTTATTTCTAAAGTATATTTTTTGTTTCATTTTAGTCACAAAAGTCTATGCTTTCTTGCATCTTTTGTCCCTAATCTTTTAATTTTGTTGCCTTTTTATTATAAAAATACTCCTATTTCCATTACTAATTTTGAATGGCGTTGATATTAAAAATTAAAGTGTAATAGAGCGTGTGTTTGATGGACTAAAGAGGAACAACAAAAAAATTGAGAACTAAAATATAACATGACACATACTCTGGGGACTGTTTATGTAATTAATTAACTCCATATTGTATATAAACATGGTTGCGTTGGGATTTATTATTTTTCTTAAAACAAAGAGTACATTGAATGATATTTTAATTACAAAAATGCTGATGCTACAACATTTAGGTAGAGAATTTTGTATAGAAATTTTTTTTAACAATAGTACTTTACGGATTGTGATTCTCTCTATTGTATATTTGTAATGAAGAGGTTCCATTACATCATCCAATGGTGCGTGTAATGATCTATTTTAATTTAAATTAATTATAAATTTACATTCCTATTTCGTAACCATTAGATATGTAATGAAAATTTTCTATTACATATA